ACTCTGATCATGTACTGTTCCAGGGGCTGGGCCAGCAGGGCACCAGCATGCAGCCCTCTGCCAGATATCACACAGACAAGCCTGGCTTCAAGTCCTGCCCTGCCACCTGCTAGCTGTGTGATCTTGGGCAGGAAACTTACCTTCGCTGATCCTCCATTTTCTCATTTCCAAAATGATGATGATAATACCTACTTTATAAGTGTATGAGAATTAAATGAGATAATGCAGGCAAAATGCTTATCACAGGGCCTAGCTCATGTCAGTGCTCCATAAATACTGGCTCCAATCATGAACAAAAAGAAGAGAAAGGGGATGAAAAAGAAAGTAGAAAGGAAGGAAGGAAGAGAATGAGGAGAAAGGAAAGAATGGATGGGCTTCAGTTCTATCTAGCTATGAAAATGTGAAAGCGGGCCCATACGGCCTTCTGGCTGATGGCAGAGCTCATTCATTAACCCAAGGGTTCCCTTTGTGGCCCAGGTAGGGCTGAGTGACTCATTACTTAATAAATTGGCATAATATTTAGAAAAAAGATATTAAAGCATCTATCCCAACTATTCCGAACAAGTGGGCTTATCAAAAAGCAGCGTGCCTTTAATAAAGCACATGTTCATGTCTGTGCATGCACACATGCTCACAAACACAGTCTTGATTCTTTTAAGAATAATGGTGATGCTTTCTGTTTTGGAAAGGCTACTGGGAGGTCCCTAAGGCAGTATAGCCCGGCTGCTATCAATCATAATGAGGCTTTATTGTAACTCTGGTAAAGGAAAGCAATACCAGCAAATTCTATATAGACTCTGCACTCTAGAAATGCTCTTTTCAGGGTTTTGATGAAATGGCTCCACATTCTGCTCAAATGACAGCCAGTGTCAAAACTGCCCTTCTGCCCTGCTGTCTGTCATTAGATGTAATTGAGCCAAACCCCAAAGCAGAGCCAATTTGCAGTCCATTGCTATGCACCCTCATCGTCTCCACAGACTTCAGAGCCTGCCCCTCCCCGCTCAGTTGGCCCACTCCTGGGGGGCCACCGACCCCCAAGGGGCCAGTACTGCTCCAGGCCAGGGCTTGCCTGTTCGTGCATCAGGCTCTCAACCTTCAAAAACTCTTCCCTCCTCCTCCTTCTGGGCCCTCATTGTGCCGCTTGGGCAGCCAGTGGAGAGTGGTGCGTTCAGATCGTGTTTTCCAGCATATTCTATAACTGACCATTGAGTATAATACTGGGATCTCATTGCCAGAGACTTTGTTTCCTTTACTGAAACCATTTCTGAGTTAGACTCTTGTTAGCAACCATCACTTCGTACACTTGGAGGTTTGATGGTGCTGAGGTCGCTCACTAAGCAATCCTTCTGTTCAGAGTCCATTCAGTTTTCTGCATTTGGGGGACGAAAACACCACAACCATTATCAAGGCTGGGTCAGGCCCCCAGCCCAGATGCCTTAGGCTTCAAGCCACTGGGGAAAGGCTACTGAGTTCACCGTCACTAACAGGCCCCAGCCTCATTCAGGAAAGAGACACTTCACCTCCCCTCCCTGGCCCCCGAGGCCCCTCTGCACCCAGGGGAGAGAGGATTCACATGGCATAGCAGTGCATTTACACTTCCATAAACGCATATCAGTAAAAGTGAAGAGAGTTTATGGGTGTGGAGGGCTTAGGGACATAACACAAAAAGATAAAAATTCAGAATTGCCTCTGGGATGGCAGATGAGAGGGCTTCTCACACTCACTGGGGGTCTCATTCACACCCGTGGCTTCAGTTGCCCCCTGGGGCCAAAAGATTTCCTAATCTGCGTCTCCATCCTGACCTCCTTGCGAGTCTCAGAGTATTCTCATCACCAGGCTTCTGAGGCATGCCCACACTCAGTGTCTGCCTGTCTTCCCTTCCCAGTCACCCCTCCACCCACTGCTCCTTCCGTATTGTTCACTGAAGCTGCTGTCACCAAAGGGCATCACTTGCCTCCTTATTGTTGAGCCAAGTGTGTATTTTTTAGTCTTTTCCTACTTAATGCCCCACCCCCACCCCCTAATTCAGTGAGTCACTAAGTCCTAGTGGTTCTCTCTCTTTAGCCCACTGTGTATTGGTCCTAATTCAGTCTCCACTCAGTCTATCTTACCTGGACTAATCCAAGGGGAGCCTCAAGGATACCTCCTTGCCCCAAGCCACTCTTCCAGAATTACTACTCCAACATGTTTTTCCGTGATTAAAAATTTGGGCCAGCTTACCCCTCACTGTGGAATACAAATCCAAATTGTAGCCAGGCAGCCTCCCCATTGCCCCAGCCCCCCTTTCCATGCTCTCTGCCTTGTGCACACATGTGCCTCGGCCACACTGGGTCTGCACAATCTTGCAAACCTGCCCTCTGAATCCCTGCTGGGAGCTTCTCTTCTGCCTGGAATAGCTTTCACCACATTTTTTCCTTCAACTCTCCTTCTCACCCTTCACAATGTATCTGATGCCATCTAGAACTGCCATTCACAGCTCCTTTTCTAACCCTATTACTATTATTAATACCAATGAATTATAGTATGCTTGGCTCACTCCCCCAGAACATAAGCTCCTTGGGGCAGAATCTTTGTTTTGCTTGCTGAAATTCTAAGCTCCCAGAACTGTGTCTAATACACAGAAGGCACTTAGTACTTGTTAATTGAATGAATGGTTAACATTTCTTGAGCACTTGTAATAGCAGGCACATTCAATCACTGTCTCATCCCTACCACAGTCCTATGAGAAAGGAACTGTTTTTAATCCCAGTTTGCACAGGAAGAAACTGAAGCTTAAGGAGACTAAATACTTGCCCAAGGTTGCCCAGTTGAGTGATTGCAAAGCTAGGATTTGAACTGTGATGTATCCAAGCTCTAAGTAACCTCACCCTCCTAACTCGAGCTTTGCATTGGCACTTTGCACAAAGCCCTGCTGTAGGCCACAGTAGGTGCTCAGCAAATGGAGAGTTATCTGGAAGTAGAAATATCTCTGTATGCATTTATGTCTTCATTATGAGTTCTCTGAGAACAGGAACTGAATCTTAATTATTTCCCCACCACCACTAAGCAGCCCGGTACAATGTCCTACATGCATTTGTGTTCATTAACATTTTAATTAAGTCACAAGTATGCTGTGAAGAGGCAGCATTTGGCAGTGAGTCCTTTCTGCACTCAGTAATCCTGAGCACTATTCTGACGGGTGCCCTAATCCCAGGCCCAGCTGCTGCTTCATCTAATCCTTTGCCTCTTCAGCATGATGCAGGCTCAGGGCCATTCCTGGCTGACCCACCCTCCACCCTGACCCCAGCCCTCTGCCATCCTTCCTGTCCTCGTGAAATCCCCCCCGCCTGTCTTCCTGCTGTCAGCGGCCTGACCATGCACAGCCGGTCCAGCCCCTCCCTCTGCCCTGCTTGACCCCACGCCCTGCCTGAGCCTGGCTGCTTCCCTGGTCATTCTTGACAGGCAGGGCAATGTGACATTTATGTAGATAATTGGAACACAATGTGGACTGTGATAAACACCAAGTCACGAGGCACTGCAGGAGTTATGAAGAGGGAGACATTCCTAGTTAAATGGTGGAGGAACTGAAAATAAATTATATCACTGTCTTTTTTGTCCTGAGAGACATGGTTTTTTTTTTAATAAAGATTTTAGTTTCTCTAGTTTTGTCAATTATTTAGGATTATTGATGGCAAGTAATAGAAATGGGAGTTGTTTAATCTAAAAGGGGAAATTCATTATAAAGATACAGAGTCTCAGAGAACCCAAAGCTTGTAAGGAAGCCAAGCATCTGGGAGAAATGGAAGCAGCTCCGGAAAATAGTCCAATATGTGGGCATCATTCTCTCCCCATGTCTTGTCCTCATTGTCTCTGTACATCTACCTCCTTCTTCCCTCTCTCTGGACCTCCTTAAGTCCACTCACCTCATCATGGTACATGGCTGCCAACGGCTACAAACCCAAGTACTGGGTTTGTACTTGGTGAGATGGCCTGTCGCCATGAAAACCACAAATCCTCTAGAAAATCTATCTCATTGGCCCAGCGTGAGTCAAATGCCCACCCCTGGTCCAATCACCTGCCACCAGCTTAGCAGAGTAATATTCTAAATGGCTGCCAGGCACCCATCTCTGTGAGGAAGCAGCAGCAGAAAGGTCATTGTAAGCTGAGCAGACTCTCCAAAAAATGTCTACTACACTTGGTCCTGTTCTTTAATAATACCCTTGTGAAAGGATTCTGGGTGCTTCCCCAGGAATAGAACAAATGAAGCAGCTTCCTATCTTTGATATTCCTTTTCAGACACAAATACATAAATGTGAACTGCCGTTTAACAAGCATTGCCCTAATTAACTAAGATGATGTTCCACTGGTAATGCCTAACAGGTTTTTGCATTGCCAATTTTGTTCCCTGAAGGCCTAGAATCCTGGCTTCCACCCAGTGCCGCACACACATTGGGATGACCCATTAGACACAGCCCAAAAGATGAGCCAGGCTGGGCGTCACTCCCTCCTCAAAGTCTTACACAAATGATGCCCACACCTCCCCTTCAGCAGCCAGAATTCTCTCGCCTTTCTAATAAGCCAGGGTAGTCAGGACTGGGGAGACAGAATCCCCTCCCTTTGAGGGTCCCACACCTCAAAAATGCTGAGAGAGCTAACCTCGGCCACTGCTTCCTTGATGAGAGAGGAGTCAGAGACAGACCTTTCATTCTGATCTGGCCTTGCCTGTTGAGTGAGGCATCAATCTAAGGCTGGGTAAGGACAATCTGAAAAGTCTATCCAACTCAGAGTGGGAGCGCTGGATCCAAACCTTTGCATCCACCCTTCCTGGACGTGGCCCCTGGGCACTGCTACGCTCCCTGCTGCTGGCCCCAGGGATGGCAGAGCACAAGGGCCCACAGAATGGGGGCTCAGGCTCAGGCCGGGGGAGGCGGGGTCAGGGCCCTGTCCTGGAGGACTGACCTCTGAGGCACATCGGATTCTGCCCACACCTTCTCAGCGATACCTCTCGGCTTGTCTTCCAGGCTCCCTGGGTACAGCAGGCCGCGTGTGCAACCTGACTTCCCGAGGCATGGACAGCTGTGAAGTCATGTGCTGTGGGAGAGGCTATGACACCTCCCGCGTCACCCGGATGACCAAGTGCGAGTGTAAGTTCCACTGGTGCTGCGCCGTGCGCTGCCAGGACTGCCTGGAGGCCCTGGACGTGCACACGTGCAAGGCCCCCAAGAGCGCTGACTGGGCGGCTCCCACATGACCCTGTGGAGGTCGGCATCCGTCCTCCCTCCTGTAAGGACTCCATTGGATCTGCAAGGACACCGGGCCTTTGGGCTCTCCCAAGGCATGTGACCTTCATCTCAACAGAAGCGCCCCCTCCTTGGGGGGGGGGGCCCGGGACCAGCTCACATGCAGCGCATAAAGCATGTCCTGCTTTATCCGCCCTCCAGCACTCTGAGCACATCTTCCCCAGGTCATGAGGGGCTGTTAGAGGGGAGGAGAGGTGTGCCCAGACACTGTCTCTACCCACCTAGACATTTCCTTTCTTTAGAGCAGTTGGCCAGAGGGGAAAAGAGTGTCTCAAAGGAGCTTCCTCTGATTCTTAACAACAAATGCTCACAGTTAAAAAAAAAAATTCCATCCTTCTCTCTGGAGGGTAAAAAAAGCAGGATAAAATGCCATTGAATTAACTTTAATTCTTGAAAAGACCAAGCAAGGCTTTTGCCTGATCAAGTGATTTTTTTCACGACCACCACCTCCAGGGGTAATTGGTAATTGCCTGGAGAAGGATGGCTTTCAATAAGCCTTAGATTTAAAATATCTATTTTTCAAGGCATTTATTGCCATATTAAAGTCCAATGTGACAGGGTGGGACTGTTGCCCTTTGGTACAGTTTGGAAACTTTGCAATAGCAAAAACCTCCAAAAGTAATTGCTTTGCATTACTGTCCCCTAGATATAAAGAAGCTTTAGGGAATGAGACTTCCTTCTCACTTAGGATCTGAAGGGAATTTTTATAAACTTTGACGACCTGGCAGATTTGATAACTACTTGGGTGACGACAGAGGAAAATAACTCAGTGAGTGAAATATCAGAAAGTGTGTCTGTACAGATAAGGAAAAAAAAAGGGGGAATAAAATTCCTATCTGGTATGATGCATGTGATCCATGGGATTTTGTAACTGAAACGGCTTTGAGAACGAAAACTTTTGGGATGACAAGACCAGGGGACCGAAGTGCTGACAGAGAGGTTTCCCAAGCTAAGTCATGCCTGGACAGCCTTTCCCGTAGCAGATGCTGAAAAGCAGCAGGCTGGGTGTGCTGAGGAGCATCAGCTCATGCCCAGCACCCTTCAAGCACATTTTAAAGACCTGGCATATTTGTGTTCATCTGATGCTTACGAGATGACAAATTACCATAGCCTGAAGCAAATGACACATAGCCTTGCTTATAAAGTTGGTAACCCTAGTACATTATATTGCAAACAAGTAGTAACTTGGAGACTATATTTAAGGGACCCAGCTGTAATTAGGGGAACACAATGTGCGGATTACATTTGGCTTCTGCGAGCCAAAAGATGACATCCAGGGAAAATGAAGAGGCTGCCTGTCCCAGTTTGTCTGTTAAATGAAAGAAAGGTGAAATGCTTACGAGATGACAAATTACCATAGCCTGAAGCAAATGACACATAGCCTTGCTTATAAAGTTGGTAACCCTAGTACATTATATTGCAAACAAGTAGTAACTTGGAGACTATATTTAAGGGACCCAGCTGTAATTAGGGGAACACAATGTGCGGATTACATTTGGCTTCTGCGAGCCAAAAGATGACATCCAGGGAAAATGAAGAGGCTGCCTGTCCCAGTTTGTCTGTTAAATGAAAGAAAGGTGAAATAGATGAAGCTGCTTTTCAGCCCCTTGTGCAATTAGGTTCTTGTTATAAATGTGATCTCTTCACAGATTCACATTCACTAACAGGGTGCTTCTTTACATCACTGGTGGGGTCAGATTATTGATGCTGCTCATTCATTAATACTTGGGCCTTTGGTCTCCCGGTCCTTCCTTCAGAGCAGGACATTGAGGCTAAAGCTTACGGTGAATAACCTGCTGGAGTGCTTTGTCAAAATTGAGTTTTGCCTTTGTGTCCTGGTAAAAATGACAGAATTAATTTCCTTTCCCTCACCCCCAATCCCCACAATTAGTTATCTAACTTTTCCTCTTTTTGTTCTCTGGAGTCAGAGTCGGGAGCAGGGGAGCACGGTGGCGGCCGCTCTGAGCACAGAGTAGGCCTGCCTGCGGGAGTGGGGAGGTCAGGCAAGCAGGCTCAGCCTTAGGCACCCTGCACTTCGCTCCCCGCACTCATGGTCGGTGCCTCCCTGGGAGGTCAAAGGGACGTTCATGGGCATCCCAAAGCCATCAGCATTTGTTCCTGAGGATGAACTGTGAAATCAAAAATCCATGGATATGTTTAGAAGTACAAAGCATCTATCTCAGCTCCCCTCAATTTGTGTCTGTGGAAACTGAGACCAAGAGAGGTGAAGGGATCTGTACAAATACCCACCATCACCTCATGCTCCATCACAAACAGGACCCCGCTCTAGGAGTACGCAAGGAAGTTAAGCACTTTATCTAGTTTGTCTCAGAATTAACTCAGTGGATTCTAAATCATTTTAGCATCCAAAGGAGATGTTCATTGTGTTGGGGTTTTTTTCCTGGGGTGTTTAGATCTGACTTTCTTTTTGTGCTGCAATGCATCCTTCCTGGTAAGGAGCAAGCAGACAAGGCATAGCCATATAGAAACCAACATAAATTGTCTTGACTCTAAGGGAGATTATGGCAGCCATCTCACGGGGCAGTAAGTGCAGCCTTTGTGGAGGGCATAATGAAAGAGTGGAATATTTTTATCTGCTTTTACTTGTGAAAGAGGAGATTATTTGAAAAAAAATTAAAAACAGATGAAGATAGCCTCAAACTCATTTTCTTTAGGACTTGGGAGAAGACCAGTATTCCATGATTCTAAAACACACAAAACTCTTGACTATCTGAGGCTGTAGAGGGAATGTGTGGCATAAGTTATTACTCGAAACAAAATGAGAGAATCCATTCAGATTCCCTTATAAATTCCCTACCAATAAAACCTTATTATGAAGTGAACCTCTCTAGGCCCAAGATAATGCCCATTAATATTCTGCAAATGCTAAAAAAGTTCCACACAAGAGGAGATCCTGACTAGGATCACTGGAGTTTCTCTTCATAAAGCTATAATGTGCACATGACTCTGAGTCTTAGAAAACAAATGTTTTTTTCCTGGGGTGTTTAGATCTGACTTTCTTTTTGTGCTGCAATGCATCCTTCCTGGTAAGGAGCAAGCAGACAAGGCATAGCCATATAGAAACCAACATAAATTGTCTTGACTCTAAGGGAGATTATGGCAGCCATCTCACGGGGCAGTAAGTGCAGCCTTTGTGGAGGGCATAATGAAAGAGTGGAATATTTTTATCTGCTTTTACTTGTGAAAGAGGAGATTATTTGAAAAAAAATTAAAAACAGATGAAGATAGCCTCAAACTCATTTTCTTTAGGACTTGGGAGAAGACCAGTATTCCATGATTCTAAAACACACAAAACTCTTGACTATCTGAGGCTGTAGAGGGAATGTGTGGCATAAGTTATTACTCGAAACAAAATGAGAGAATCCATTCAGATTCCCTTATAAATTCCCTACCAATAAAACCTTATGAAGTGAACCTCTCTAGGCCCAAGATAATGCCCATTAATATTCTGCAAATGCTAAAAAAGTTCCACACAAGAGGAGATCCTGACTAGGATCACTGGAGTTTCTCTTCATAAAGCTATAATGTGCACATGACTCTGAGTCTTAGAAAACAAATGAGTTGTTTTCTTCAACAGATTTGTCCCCTAAATTGGTATTTGGAAGTCTGTATTGGACTGATCTTTGTCTATCTTCTGTGAACACACCTTGTGAATGTACATTCCAGTTATGACATCCTGGGCAGCCCCTCACGGTCTGAAAGAGTTAACACCCTACCTTACAAGACCAGTTTATTCCCTGGAATGGCCAGTTTTTTCCCTCAAATGGCTTATGCTCAAGCACAAAGGCCCCCAGGGCCAGGATCACACTGGGCTCTGACTCTGTGCCCCTAGGGGAGGGGGCTCACTTTAAAGTGAAAAAAAAACCCAGCTTCACACTGACATTTTCCAGTCTTACTAATTTATTAAGGAATCCTCCATCACCTTCTACAAGGCCGGAAGCAGGGCTCTGTCTCCCAGAAGCAGCTCACGTGACCATGCATGCGCTTGTACATGTTCAGGCCAGGATATTGTTATTACTACTTATTTATTAAAGGCTGGCCTGGGACTGGTGTTGTCTCACTCAGTTGAAGAATATTCATCTCCTCTCTTGCCTGCTCTCAAAATAAAGGCTCAGAGAGATGTCCAGTGGGCCAGAACCATCCTTTAGTGTCTGTTTGCTGTACTTCACCCTGGGTTTCCTTATTTTAAGAGCAAGAGTTGTACTCATAACAAATAATCCTTGCCAACTCCAAAGCTGGTAAGTGGCTCTTGTCAGATCTGTGCTGACCTTCTGAAAAGCAATCCACTGGTATAAGCTGACAGGTAGGGCATGTTTATTTTGACCTCCTTACCTAGGCAGAGAAAATTTTCACTCATCCATGAGAATGTTCTTTACATTTTTCTGGGGATCAGCAAGGTGACAGGTGGTTTGCAAAGCCCAGAATGATCATTATTTTTCTAAATCATAGTTGTTGTTCCAACTCTTAATTTTTTTTCCTGTTATTCACATGGATTCCTGTTTAACCAAACCTCCCACTTCCACAAGCTAATAAAAGTGTCACGCAGATTGTTACAAAGAACTATTGTTATTTACAAGTCTACATTTTCTGTGAAATCAAAACATAATAAAGTGAATTTTCAGTGTTGACTTGGTTATTTAAACTTGAGATAGTCTTGCCAACCCGTCTGGTGAAAAGAGATCCCTGCAGATTATGAGAATTATTCCCTTGTCTTTTCCCAGGACCACACTTAACACAGTTTGATCAAGAGGTGTCTTTCAAGTTCGTAAAGGTTTTTAGGGAAGACAATTGCCTTACCTTCCTGATAAATACTCTTGTGAGTTCATGGGTAAGATTTATATTCTGGATGGAGAGATTATTCCATATTTCACGTGCTGTTCTCTGGTGGTTGCCATTTAAGTGCTTACCCGCTCTTGGTGCCAGCCTGCTTTGGCAATATTTATAAGTTAGGTGTCTCTCCATGGCACGACACCCACCCCTGCTGACTTCTCTGAATTATTGCTCTCCATGTACGTGCTTGCTCTTGGCTGAAATGGCATTTTCTCAGCTTGATTAGAAACATACAAGATCCCGTGTACCCTTATTGAGATCTTTGCATCCGGATTGTGTGCTTTTATGCAAGCAGCAAAGCTCAGAAAATGGAAATAAATTCTCCTCCAGCAAAGGAAGTCTGCCCCCATTTTCTTTTCCTGGATGAACTATGTTTTGGGGTGACCTGGGGTGACTAAGATGACTCTGACTCTGCACTTCAAGCACCCCAAAGCTGCCCCATAGTCGTGCTGCACATTGTCCCTCTAGGATTCCATTGTTTTCTAGAACTCCCACACTTGGAAGACCTGAAGTAGAGGTAGTGACATGTGTCTGTGTGTTTCACAAAGAGCATTTCCCCTAAATATTTTTTGCCCAAACATTGTCAATGAAATTTCCCTGTTATCTACCCTTTGGATGAGAGAGGGCTGTCCTGCACATCATGGCATCTTTAGAACTAGCTTTGGTCTCTCCACACTAGATGCCAGAAGCTTCTCCTGCTCCCCATTTGTGACAACCAAGAGCATCTGCAGACATTGCCAGATGTCCCCAGTGAGGAGGGAAGGTGGCAAGGGGCAAGAGCGGAACTGTTCCCAGTTGAGAACTACCGATATGACACTTTGGGTTAAGTTCTCTATTAAAATTCAAGTCACATACACTCCCACTATTTTCAGCTAGGAACACCACACTGGGAATATTAGTTTAATGGGATTAATTCTCAGTGTTAAGGTATCAGACTAATGGGGAAGGAATCTTCTGGAGTGGTTGTAGTCATGGAAACCCTCAGCAGCATGGGGCAGAATGAGACAGGCTGAGACGCAAAGCTCACTTAGGCCCAGGAGGGTGAGAGAACATGAGGCCCCTGGGTTTCTGAGGATGGGCATCAACTTTAGGGACTCAAAGGAAGGATGGAAGGTGAGCAAGGAGAAACAATAATGTGCTCCTAGAAGCTGGAGGCAGAATTCTACTTAGGAAGAATTCCTCAGTTTCACAAGACTCAGTGGTGAGGAAAAAGCCCCAGGATATGGCCTGAAAGGTGGAGGAGAAAAATATTACAGTTCTGCATAAACTAGTGAGTCATTTTGAGTTTCTTGATTCAGAGAGGAGGGTAATAATAAAGGGGGCACTGCAAAATGGAGAAAGTCTGAGTTCCAAACAAAAGATGGTGGAATTTCCAGTTTAAGGCCAGGGAAACTACCATTTGCAGGTTGATCACTGAGCCTCCCCCTTCCCTCTGCCACTCACAGCCCACCAGTTGTCCCGGCTGCAGGTAACCCTAGCCTCACTTGCACGATATTTTCACAGAGTGAAGCGATCAAAATGTTGTTCAACATGGGCCAACAAAAGGTGGGAAAGAGAGAGTCTGTACTGAAGGCCAGGTGGGACGGCGGGGAGAAAAACAAGCCTGGGTGACAGATAAAAGGGAGACGGAGCCAGTGGAGAAGGAGGGCGGATGAGCACCTGCTCAAAGAAGGAATCAGAGAGCTTAACTCCTTCTATTGACAATTCTTCATGAGCGAAGGGGATTGTATTTAGGCTGTCCAGAGGAGTAAAGAGCAGATGAGAACCCATGGATGAACAAGGAAACTCTTCACGTCCTCCTTATGCTACTATCTAGTTCTAGATTATGTAGCATGATTAAAATCCAATCAACATAATCAATTTACCCTTTAGGCTTTTTTTAGACTCTTAACTTGATTTTGTAATTTCCAAGTAGTGACTGATCCTGTGAAAGCCCCTGTAATTGAATCACAGGCTCTGGATTTCCCCAGACAGTCTACCCAATCCTATTTTAACAGCATTGCAGCCTTTCCTAAATTCCAGACAGGAGGAATAACATTACTACCCGTAATCCAAGTTCAAATAATTAAATGAAGAAGATGCATCCGCTATCCACTCAGCCAGATTGCTTACACTGGTTACTTCAGTGGAGGTTGGGGGACTTGGCAACCCCATCTGTAAATGTTTAGGGGAATCAGGTTACAGGTAGGTGGTCACACAGGTCACAAAAAGCAGGAAATACAGAAAACAAAATCTGAATTGGGTCTTCAAAGTCTGTCCACCATGTAAACTTTGGCATCTGCCCCTTGATCATTATTCTCTAATAGTAATGAAGATTTCATGAAATGTCTTGAACTCTGAGTGACATTGTGGAATTGTGCTTAATCAAGACAAATATTCCCACCCTAAAAGTATGACTAGAGGAAGGGAGTAGACATTTAATTTTCCTATATATTGTTGTAACTATAAACAGTGCCTTATCTTCTCAGCAACTCTCATGAAATAATAAGCACTAGTATTTTTTAAAGTATTTACAACAGCCCTTGGAGATTTTATTAGAATCATGATTCACAGATGAGAAATTTCCCTCTTTTACAGGGTTTAGTAACTGAAGAATTAGTCAGTAGACTGTCTATACAGACAGATGAATTTGAATACTTCTTCTGGCTATTAACCATTCATTCACTGGTGACTTTATTTTTTTCTGAACTGACTGAATGATTAGGTCAAGATGATCCCTCTGGTTTGCATATTGTAGATAGATAATTAAGCAGTTTCTGAAAATTATGTTATTCTGTCAAATGGATTATGGGACTTCAACAGAGCAGTGAGTTTACATGACACTTACAGGATCCTGAGAGTGAGGATTCGTGGAATCATAGAATTTCACACAGGGAAGGAACAATGCACATAAATTATTCCAACCTCCACATTTTATTCATAAGAAAAGAAATTTCATGGTTTGGACTACAATGTAAGCAAGACACTCTGAATCATCTTCAGGGAAGAACAGCTATTATTCATTTAATCAGTCTGTATCAAGCATCTCCTGTGAGTCAACCACTGTGCTATATCCTGGAAATGCAACAGTGACTAAGACAAACGTGCCCTTGCAGAGCCTTCTGGGAGGGCTAACCCAGAACATGGGTGCT